TCATCCCCTGTGGCTTGGACGGTGCTCACAGTCTAAGTGAGGCCTTTGCAGCCCTGGCTAGATCTCCTGCTGGAGATGCCCTTGAAAACATGAAGACCTGGCAGATCCAGGCTGGGCAGGGTCCAGAGTGAGGATTTGGCCTGTGCCTGCCCCACAGTGGCCGTGTTCCTGCTCACTGAGGCCGCCCTCAGCTCTTTCTCCAGCCCAGCTCTTCCCTGCCCAGCCTTCCTGCCCAAAGTCCACACAGCTGCTGTGGCACCCAGCTGAGCACACCCTCCGTCCCTGGGCTGTGCTCCCAGCTGCTCTGAAACCATCTGTCCGTCTCCTGTCTTCCCCACCTCAGGACACCTAGGAGACCACAGGCAGCGGGGTGCTGGGTGTGCAACCCCCCCTCCTTCTCATCCTCCAGCAGACAGTAGACACAGTTACCAGTTGTTAAAGGAAGGAAACCAAACTCAGTGTGGTAGTGCATGCCTGCCATCCCAGCATTTTGGGAAGCTGAGGTAGGTGGGTTAGAAATTCAGGTTAAGCATGGGCACCGTTAGTAAGAGCTTCTCATAATTAAAAACCTAAAGAAGGACTTAGGCTGTAGCTCAGTATGACAGCCGTGGGTTCAATCCCAGCCCCAGGGTGAGGTGGGGGGTGCATCCAGGAGTCAGTTTATAGCTCCCATTTTAAGGAGATAGCCAGGTATCAGATATTGGGGGACACAGTCCTGAAAGCCCCACCTATCCCCAGCACCCACTCTCGAGGACCCAATGGTGCCAGCACAGAGTGCCGGGTTTACATAGGGCATCTCTGGCCACAGGAACTTCACACACACGGAAGCTCTGCAAGGGTCAGCAGCAGCTGCTGCCAGCTGCCCGTGACCTGGACTCACGAGGCCTGCTCAAGCGCAAACCTGTCCCCCCCCCCCACTCCCCCCTGGCCAGTCCTAACCTGCCAGCCCTGTAGTTCCGCTGCCTGGCTCCACACCCCCAGCCCCTTGCTGCATCAAGTTGGAGAGAAAGTCCAGGAACCAGAGCCCTGTGGTACTGCTGGGCAGGGCTAGCAGGCTGCTTTGAGGAAGTGGAGGCAGCTGGGGCTCCACACCCAAGGGCACTAAGACAGCCTTGCCCTGAGTTCCCCAGTCTCTAGACTTCCAGCCCAAGGATTGCCCTCTCTCTTTGCCTCCCTCTCTGCTTCCCTTCCTTCCCCTTTCTCTCTTTCTGTGTATGCTATTACGGATCGAACTCAGGGTTTTCTCCTGAGCTTCATCCTTAGCCCCTTTTCTATTTTAAGACAGGTTTTCATTAAGCTGTCCACGCTGGGCTCAAGTCTGTGGTCCTGCCTCAGCCTTCCAGAGCACAGGCATTACCGGCATGTGCTCCTGGCAAGTGCGTCTGTCTTATCTGCTTCTTGAGGCCAGCTGTCGTCACTGCTCCTGGGAACAGGACACAGACGTCCAGTCCTCCACTGACCACTCAGGGCTGCCCAGCCTCGGGGCTTACTGTCTGGAAGGAGGACAGCAAGTCTCTGCCCAGGTGGCCCGTGTGACGGAAGCCATAACCTGGCAGCCTGTTTTAACTCTGCAAGAAGAAAGGAAACACAATACTTTGGAAGTGTAGGGAGGGGATGGTCATTTGTGGGACCATCACAGAAGACAGCCCAGAGGAGGTGGCCCTATGGTGGTGAAGGTTGGATGGGGGACCACGGAGCCCCTGAGGGTGTGACTGAGGTCTCTGACATGACTTCTGGTCCCTGCGGGGCAGGCTTGTCCATAGTGTGGTACCTCCTGGATCCCCAGGGACAGGATCTGCCCAGGACGGAATGACCCTGAGACAGTCCCCAGGCCTAGCAGTCAGGAGCAGGCTGAGTCCCTCACTCTGTCCGTCTGCTCAGTAGCAGGTGTCAGGAGTGCAGCTTTGGTGACAGGATCCCTAATGAGCTCAGGCTCTGATGGCATCAGCATCAGTCTTGCAAGCCTGGGACAGCCCCATCCTACGTAGTGTCTCAGCTCGCCTGGAGCTCCCACCCCACCTGCCTGGCTCCCCCAGGGGAACATGCTGCTTCCCTGGGCAGTGAGTAGCTGGCAGCCTGGCTCCTCCCTGGCAGGTTCCAGCCAGGGCCCCAGCTCAGTGAGGTCAGGGGACGCATATTCCAGGAATGCAAGAGGCAGGCGGGCCTGCGGATCAGGTCTGGGTAACCATCAGGGGTAAATATTTGCCTTGCTCCTGGAGCCTGCTCTGGCCACCACAGGAGGACCGGCCAGTCTTCTAAGGTCATGTCAGGGGACGACTGCCCAGTGGGTCTCCAGTGAGGAAGCTCAGCCCCCGGCAGAGAGTGGGGAGAGCCAGGGCCGGCTCTGCAGCCTTTGGCCCCTCCGGGAAATGGGGGAGGAGCAGCTGCCTCAACCGTCTGGTGCAGTGTGACTCAAGCCTGTTCAGGTCAGCTCTGCAGGTTCAGCCAGGAGTGGGTGCTGCTCATGTGACAGTGATTCTGAGCCACTGGGCTGTGTGTGACCTTGAGCTCAGAGTCCCTGTCTGCTGAGCTCTCTTGCTCGGACACCTGTTCCTTCGTGCCCTGGACGCAGGGTCCATGTGTGCACACGTGCTGTGGGGGCGGAGGGCTCGGGTGTCTCTGCGCTGGCCAACAGAGCACCCAGCTGGCCATGTGAGCCCTCCCTGGTCCCTGATGAGCCCTGTGCCCTGGCCAAAATGCAGCATCACTCCGCCAGCCTGGAGGGAAAATTAATCCTGCTCTGAAAGGACACAGGCGCAGAGAGGCTGAACGACACAGGGATGTCTGGAAGCAGCACAGCAGGGACTCAGCTCCCACTCTGCCCAGCACAGCCGGACTGGGGGCCTCTGCTGCGCGCACCTCCCATTCCTCCTTAGAGACCCCAAGGAGAAATGAGGACTGGGCTCCCGGTGGCTGGAGGAACCCACCTTGGTCTTGGGACAGGCTCCACCCATGGAGGCCTCTGCCTTGCCCCAGATCCAGGCCTGTCACTCCCACAAGCCTATCCTCCCTGGAGCCTCAAGGTCCTGCAGGGCAGAAGGGACCTCTGCCCTGCCCTGCCCTCCTCCAGGAGCTGTAGATGTCTGTAACCGAGCACTGCCCCCTGCTGTGTGCAGCCCTGTGGCCCCTGCGGGCTGGGGCCAGCCAAGGACTTACATCACTCTGTCTCCTCCCTGTCTGTCCAGGTGTCCCTGCCTGCACAGGCAGCGAGTTTTGCCTTGTCACGGCCCACCCTGGCTCCGAGTCTCCATCTGCCTATCATCAGCTCCTGGGCCCTGCAAGCTCAGGACAGGTAGTTTTCTCATCCCTGCCGGGTTCTTTAGAGTTCCTTAGCTGTGTGTCCTTAGGAAACTAGAGAGTCTCTCTGGGGCTCTCTGGCTGCTGCTTTTGCTTGAAGATTAAAGGAGATACGCCAGGCTCCACCCACACAGGGCTCCAGCCATCTCTTCGGATGGGTCCTGCATCGTAGGCTCAGCCTCTGACCGGAGAATGCTTCAGATCCTGGTGCCCCTGCTTGTCGCTGTGAGACTGTGGACAGGTCCCTGGCCCTCTGTTCTGGTGGCCTCTTGGCATCAGCGCCACCCCAAGGGGCTAGTGTGTGGAGAGGCTTTGGGCTGAGCACCATGAGCAGAGCCTGCCGAGCGGTGGGGTGGCGGGTGCCTGTCCTGGAGGCCTGGGTGCTACTGGCCAAATGAGCAAGAGCTCTCCAGCTCTGGCTTGTGTCTCCGCTGCTGAGAGAATGATTTTCTCTCTGTCAGCGACTCTGCGGCCAGCGTGCCTTGGGGAGGCCTGAGCCACGGGTGGTGGAGAGGGAGGCAGGATAGTCCTGCGGCTCCCCTCCAACTGTGACGTGCTGTGTGACCTTGGGGCATAATGGCAAGGGCTCTGTATGTTCTAGATGGCAGCATGTGGGGGCTGCCAGTGCCCAAGGGGAAGGACATGAGGTCCTGGCCTTTCCTGGTGGCAGAGTGGTAACCCTGTGCCCTGTGAGGTAATCCGGGCTCTACCTGTGAGGCTGACCCTTTCATGTTCTGTACATGTATAGAAGAGGAGTCCTTGGTGTCTCCACAGCCCCATCAGGAAACCGAGGCAAAGGGAGGTTTAAGATCCATGTCCCAACCACACGCGGGACTCTGGTCTCCCCAGGTACCTGGCTTGCTGCCTGGTAAAGTGGCCTGGTCCGAGCTCCCCCAGCCCCGGGTGAGTACAGAGCCCAGGGGCAATGGCCTCAGTGGCCCCAAGCTTGGCCCCCCTCCTGCCTGCTATGCCCATCCCCGCAGTTCCTGCTGCTTCTGCCCACTGCCATTCTGTGGGCACTCCTGTGCCCTGGAGCGGCCTTCCTGGTCTTGCCCCCATCCTAAACCTACTCGCTCTGCAGCCATGCTGATCATCCCAAACCAGAACTCAGCCACTCAGCAGTGCCAGTTGTGTGGTGTCGCCTGCCCTCTGTGACAGTCCCACGGACCCACCCCTGTGCACCCCTGTGTCCCACTCTCCAGGCCTCCCCTGGGCCAGGCCTTCTTCCCATGCCTGCCTGGAATGCTATTCCGGCACCTCAGCTTCCTGACTTGCTCTGCCTCAGCCTCCAAGTTCACTTCCCTGTTCTTTCTGTTGGGCATCACTTTTATTTTTTTTTTCAAAGTTTTATTGATAAACAGCAATGAGACAGTTTCAAATCCAATCGGAAGTACAGTTTCAACAAATAATACACTGCATATATTCTTCTTAGTGGTTAATTGCTGTACAAGAAGTGGACTTGTGATCCTATTTACAAACACTGGGCATCACTTTTAATGTTCTATAAAGTTTTAGCTATTTTTTTTTCTTGGCTCATTGTCTGAGTCCACATGAGTCTGGGGACCCCGTCACCACTCTTGGGGTTCGTGACATGCTGAGTAAACACGTGGCTGCCACTTCAGGGACAGTCTGTGGCTGAGGACCTGACCACAGGCAGGGGCTGTATCTTGCACCTCTGATCTTGACCCCTGCTCTCTCTGCAGGAGGATGGAGCTGGAGTGAGGGCCAAGAGCTGCTGACTGGCGCCGGGGACACTGGTGACGCTCAGACCACAGAGGTAGGTATGCACTGTCGCCTTCATCTCAGGACCCTGTGTGGCTGGAATTCATTACTGGAGGACTGGGTGTGGCTTGAGCTGGGGCCCCAGGCCTCACAGGTAGGGTCGGGCGCTGCCACCTCACTGGGTCATCCCCTGCATCCCAGCGCTGTGGCGTGGGCTGTCTCTGGTGTGGCTGCTGGGAGCACACCTGGGAGAAGAACTGGGGCCTGGCAGCCCTGCTCAGTCCACCCTGAGTTGAGGGGGTATGTGGGCTACTACCCTGAGCCAGGCAGAGAGCCATGGCCTAGTTGCCACCGTGGATCACAATGCCGAGGTGGCACTGCAGGGGAAAATCCTGGCTCTGGTGCTTGTCTGCTGTGACTTTGTAGGATTTCCCGGGCCCCAGTTTACCCGTCTGTCAGTGAGGATGGGTGGTAGTATGTGCCAGGTTGCTCTGCCCAGGGAACTGCACACATGGCACGCAGTCATCCTGGGAGTGTGCCAGCTTTGCTGCCCCTGCCATCCTGGCCACACCAGCCCGCGTGCCCTGAGCACCCACCAATGCCCGTAGAGACCCGAAATGGGCTCTGGCCTGAGTCCCTCGTGAGCTCCCAGGAGTAGCTGGGACCAGCAAGTCCTGATGCCGAGCCTCACATGTGGCTTCTGGCCTGGACACCAGTGACTATCATGAGTGGCATCCGAGGGCTGGTCACACCTGGTCACATGCCAGACAGTGACCAGGAGGCCCTCAGCCCACAGAGGAGGGCGTTTGCACGGATGCGCGTTCAGCCCAGGCTCTTTGTCTCACAGCACCTTGACACGGGGCCAGTGGGAGAGTGAGGACCCTGTCCCAGCACGGAGGCCTCACCTGTGGCCAGGGAGGGCACTAGGAGGAGCCCAGCAACCCCGAGGAAGGCGGCCGGGCTGAGCCACCGTGGGCTCTGGAATTGGGCACCTGGCTCTGTCTTGGGCCAGTCCCTTTCCTGCTGTAGTGTGTCATCCCAAAATGAGGAGAACTGTGCTACCCTTGGAGATGGGCTGCTGTGAGTGACAGTGCTTGTGAAACCGCGACTACTTTGTTTTACTTTTATGCTTTTATTTTTTTTGGAGACAGTCTCACGTAGCCCAGGCTAGCCTTGAATTTGCTATCCTTGTGCATCAGTCTCCCAAACATGGGGATTCTAGGCATGGATTGCCACTCTCAGTTATAGAAATGCTTTTCATTCTACGTCTTGCTGAGCAGGAGGGTGCGTACCTGTAACCCTAGCACTTGGAAAGCTTAGGCAAGATTGCTGTAAATTCAAGTCCAGCTTGGGCTTCCTCCAGGGGCTTAGTGTGGCTAAGAAATCCATTGAGCTGTAAGTGGCAAGGTGGGGATTTGAACCGAGGTCCTCAAAACTAGGCAGCCAGAATGCCTCAGAGAGCAAGGACAGAACCACGGGGCAGTCACGTATTCAGCCCCTGTGCCTGCTGCTCCCTGGAGCCAGAGCTAGCCCCCTGGGACTGGCAGTGAGCGCCTCCCCAGGAGGCTTCCCGCATGCCAGTGTGTTTGGGAACCCACCACTAATTGTCAGGTAGCCTCTGAAATTCTCCTTCACGGTGGGTTCTCTCTTCGGATGTTTTTCAAGGTAATTCATTCCCGTTCCAGAAATTGCCGGTGGTGGGGCATGAGGCAGCTGGTAATTAATCATAAGAGCTGCTTTGAGTTTATTCTTTAAAAAAAAAGAAAGTGAAGAACAGAAAGCTTTGGTGGAAGAAGACAAAAGTGCTCTAAGGCAGAAGTGGTAATCAATACCTCCTTGTCCTAGAAACGGTCTGGCAGACATGGGGACATCTCCCTCCATCTCTCCCTCCCTCCTTCCCTCCCTCCCTTCCTCCCTTCCTCCCCTTCTCCCTCCTTCCCTCCCAAGGTAGCTGGCCACAGCGTGAGGTTCTCGACCTGACCCTTGGCTCTCTGGGTGACTCTGAGAAGCCACTTCCTCTCCCTGGACTCAGCTTTGCCACCTATAAAATGGGTGAAGGGCAAAAAAAGATTATCATTCAAAATATATTGAATGATTGTCTCTCCTTTGCCACCTCCTCCGGCCTGGCTGACACATAGCTGCTGCCCGAGGGACATTTCACTGAGCAAGATGCTTCTCTTGTGTCCCAGGTAAGCAGTCCTTCGAGGAGATGGTACAGCCTATGGCTCAGGAGCAGCTGGGGCAGTGGGCCAGGGAGAAAAGACAGGCTGACCTGGGGGGCTCTGACAAGGAGAGCTCGGTGCCCACAGTGGCGACCACACTGTTTCCTTGGTATTTTCAAATTCACCTCTCCAAATTCAACTCTCAAATTCAGAGCTGTTGTAGTTTGTTTGATTTGATTTTTTTAAAGCTGCTCTTTGGATGTAATGAGCTTCCTTGTTACTAAATATATGCAGGTTGGAGTTGGGTGTACGGCGCAGGACGCTTGGGCAGCAGACTGGCCAGGGCCTGGGTACATCCCTGAGTCTGAAAGAGGCCCTCTGAGATGGACACTGTGGAGGCTGGGCTAGTAGGGGAAGCCTGTCCTTTCCCAAGCCCCTTCCCTGAAGCCCTGGGGAACCCACTGGTGCCCCACCTCTGCCCAGGTGGGCACAAGTGTTGAGGCCTCCCAGAAGATGAGACCCACTGCCCCAGGATGGCCCTACAGTGGGCCCAGTGTTCTGCCCAGAGGCCCCACACAGCGTCCCAGGCCCCACCGAGGGGCGTGGGTCAGGCATGCCCCCTGTGTGCAGTGCAGAGCCTATGTGGCCATTTGTGGGTGGCTGAGGAACAGAGAGACCCGGTATATCCAGACCCCCCCAAAAAAGCCTCCCTTTGAGACCTCGTGTCAACCCACCGCCATACTAGCCAAGGTGGCCCGTAAGCAACCCACTGAGGGGCGACCTTGGGGCACCCAGGCCCTAGAGCTCCGGGCTCCCTTTCCCAGTTGCCAGTCCTGCTGTGGACCTCCTGGGTCTCAGACCTGTGTCCTGAGTCTGCCTGTCATGTGCCTGGTCTCTGCGTGTACGAACATATGCACACAGGTCTCCGGGGCTTTGCAGGGGTGAGCAGTGTTCTGTCTCCCCATGTCTCCATTTTTCTTCCTCTGTCCATCACTGTCTTTGTCTCCCGGTGGCCCCACGATGCCCACTGCCCCCTGTATGGTCACACTTCCCTCAGACCCACTCCTGCCAGGGCACCAGCAGCTTGCCTGCTCTATGTCACCGCCTCCTGTCATCTCCAGACTGGGCAGTGCAGAGACACCCTTGTAGCCCCACCCTGCCACCCCTCAGAGGTGTCCTGACAGCAAGCTGTACTCTTAGTTGCCCAAAAGGCTCCACTCTGGGGGTAGAGATTCCACCCCCTCCCCAGGGCCCTGAGCCACCTGGGGTGGAGACAGCACTCCCAGCTGAGTGGGCAGGCTCAGTGCCCACCCACGGCTGCCTGGCCATGGGGGAGGGGGCTGCAGGAGAAGGTGCTGCTGGAAACCTGGCGTTTCCCCCAGCGCTAATGAAATTCCTGCTATAATTAGAAGTGAGGTGTCAGGAGCTGCAGCCTGGAGGGAGGGAGGGTGAGCTCATGAATAAACACCAGTCCTCCCCCAAGGGTAGAGTGTGCTGCAGTGGGGATCCTGGCGCACCTCAGGGACAGGGACACCCCCAGGAGTTCCCTCCATCATATCGCTGTCCATGGGGCGGGGGGTGTCAGCATTACCCTCATAGTGCCTGCAGTGTACCCAGCCTGTGAGGCCAGTGTCATCTGGCCAGGGACCCCTTTGTGGCCCCACCACTCAGCAGCATCTGCGGTGCCCTGGGCTGCTCCTCGGCCCCCTCCTGCTCTTCCAGTGACATTCCTGTCTCCAAGGGCTCTGTGGTCTGACACCTGCCCCAGACCACAAGTCCTACACAGGGAGAGCATAGCCACCACCCCAGGGCTCTAGCACCAGCTCCCTGTCCTACACACCTGGCCCTTCCTCCCCACGTGCTCTTCTTTGCACAAATCCATGTTGGTCTGGTGGCTGTGGCTGCTTCGTATTGATTACGTATTGGAATGGTAAGCTCTTAGGCACAACGCCGTTTTCCACCTCCTGTTTCCACGCTGAGCTTTGGAAACTTGGTACATCTGTCTTGCACACCGAGTCTTCGCATCTTCTGTGGCCCCTCAGTGGCCCCTGACTGCATAGTGGGTGGTGCAGGCTCAGAGCGACAAGCTTCCTCACTTTGCAGGTGGGGAAGCTGAGACCAGGCAAAGGCACTCGTGGGGAAGAGCTGGCGGAGCACACGCTCCCCTTGAAGGCTGGGCTTCTCTGTCTCGGGCACAGCAAGAGGCAGGCAGGGTTATGGCAGGAGCTCACACAACTGTCAGGGAGCAAATGATGGTAAGGGGTCTGTTCCCCTCCCCCTCACGCGTGGCAGTAACTGGAGCTGCCCCCTCACTAGTCCCCAGAGAGCCCCAGGCCAAGACAGTGGCAGTGGCCCTGGGGACCAGTTTATCCTTACCTATTCTGGCTTGTGAAGAGCAAACACACAGTGGAGACCGGAGCTCAGAGGGTGAGCGCCAGCCCAGGAAAGCAGGAACCCTGCCTGACCCCCTTTCTGGCCACCCAGGACTTGGTTTGGAGGGTAGAATCCTAGTTTCTGAGTGTGAAGGATGTTGGTTTCAAGAGCCAGAGGGAAGCACGGGCCTTGCTCCTGGAGATGGGCTGGCCTCTCCAGCGCCTCGGCCCTCCTGAGCAGGTTTTCCTCTGTTCCCAGAGCCCCCTCAGCCATACCTGGCTGCTCATTCCGTTTCTGTCCACTCCTCTTGTTTGGCTCTGGCCAGGCAGTGTGGCAGGGAGTCAGGAAGTGTCAGACCCCAGGCCCCTCGCCTTCCATGGGGACAGTTACCGCCTGCCCAAGAGGAGCTCCACAGGGTCCTCACCATCCCCCCTCCAGGGAGACTGCTGTCCCCGGCTCTGGCCCTTGGAGGCCTGGGCCAGGCTCTGAGCCGCATCCCCAGGCCGCGGCGTCACTGCTT